CCTGTCATTGTTAGCATCCCCCTCTGCCCATGCACTGGTCAGAGCTTTCCTTCTGCCTCCCTAGTTCTCTGCGCTCTGCCAACATCCTTCTCAGACTGGTCCCTCCTGTGTATCTGCCCTTGGCCAAGTGCCCTTGCCTCCATCCTCAGAGATGACCTGAAATCCGAGCTCCCTGTGGCCTCCCCAGTCTCTTCAGCTTCCTTAATGCCTCCAAAGGCTCATTTGTGAGTCCGTAGCTGAGATTTCATTGCTGACAGTCTACTAACTCTCCTGAGTCATTTTCCCTTTTAGCATCTCAGTTCATGGGATCATGACTCTTCTCAGAACTGTTTGAAATCTTCCCTCCTGAAACTGAGCACACTTGATAATGGCCCGCCTTGCCTTCTCTGCTGCTCCCCTCTTCTGCAAGGGCTTGATACGCTACAAACGACTCTGACCCCCAGACAGAAATCTTCCCCCATCATGTCTGCCACCACAGAGGTGAAATGCTCACAAAACAAGCCACTCTGCTTTCAAATGAATGCGATTAAAAAATTGGGGGGGGGGGCTGTATGGTGAGGGGAATTTCTCCTTGCTCATCTTATCCATGGTCCCAATTTTGCACCACCCTCAGGCAGACACCATTGTCTCTGACTGACTGGGAAATCTCTCGTCTCCCACCCCACCCACCTCTCCTCCATCCCTTCCCCAGGCTTGCACCCTCTTCAGATTCATAGAGCTCCGCAGAGGTGCACAGGGCAAAGTATGGGGCAGAAGGACTTCCCTGGTGGTCCAGTGGTTAAAAATCTGCTTTCCAATGGAGGGAACATAAGTTCAATCCCTGATCAGGGAATTCAGATCCACATGCCTTGAGGCAACTATGCCTTTGCACAGCAACTATGACCCAACACAGCCAAATAAATAAACAAATATTTTTTTTTTAAAAGGTATGGAAAAGAGTGCAGAGCTTCCTTGACTTCTCCAGGCACTGCTGTCCCCAGATCTCCATGTGGTCACCAACCCAGGAGTTCTCTGAATCCTGACCTTTGCATTTTTATGAAGCTTCATTGCATAGGCATGATTGATTAAATCATTGACCAATGGCAATTTATTCAACCTCCAATCACTCTCCTCTCCCCAGAGATCAAGGGGATGGGGCTGAAAGTTCCAGCCCTCTAATCACATGGTTGGTTCCCCTGGCAACCAGCCCCCATCCATAGGTATTTTCCAAGTTGCCTATTAACATAAACTCAGGGGTAGTTGAAAGAGATACGCTATGAAGATCAAGACACCTTTACTACTTCTGACACTTAGGAAAAAGCCATGAAGTCTCCCTGGGGTTGGGACAGTTCCGGGCCGCAGGTTCAGGGCAGGGTGCCACCTGCAGCAGCCTGACTGAGGGCTCTGAAGTGGGGAGTCAGAATTTACCAGTGAACCATCTGGTTTACTGTATTTAAGTCTCTGGGCCATAGGCTTCAGTCTGTGCAGAGTAGGTTTTACAGACCTGGAAGAACTGGGGCCTCAGGGAGTGGTTATGCTGGGAAGATGCAGACAGGCAAGGCAGGACAGAATGCTTCCGTGAGAAGGCCAGGCCCAGAGAGGGGGCTCGGTGGGGTGTCTCCCAGCCCTTTAGTAGCCAGGGCCATGGGCAGAATCTTGCCATTGGATCTCCAGCCCCAAGACCATCTCCTACACTCAGCAGGGGCTGAGTGCAGGGGAGGACAGTTGCCAGGCAAGCCAGGCCAGTGCCCCACAGGCCTGCAGGGGAGATACTGAGAGTGGTGCATGGGGCCTGCAGGGAGAGAGAGGCCGCAGAGAGGAGGTGGACAATAGCAGCCTGACATCAGAGTAAGGGCTGCTGACCCCTCGCCTCCTGCAGTGAGTGAGGGAAGGTGCGGGTGGGTGTCACTGAGAAAAACCCCATGTGCAAGAGGCAGGGATTTGAGAGAGAGAAGAGAACTTTGCTTCCAATAAGGAAATGCTCAGAGAGGGGATGTGTGTATGTGGTTGTTGGTGTGCGTCTATGGTAGAAAGACCTCAGGGATGGGAAGGGCTGGGGGAGAGGGCAGGAGAAATGGTAGGGGTGCTGTGGGAGGGTTGGCACTTGATCTATGGCCATTGCCCCTTCTGTCTGGAAAAGCCCAGCCTGGGCTCAAGTTGCCTGTGAGATGAGGCTCTGTCAAGAGTGCTCTGGGATGAGGGAGTGTCCCCAATGTGGAGGCGGCTGTGGGAGGCGGAGGGGCAGAGAGAAGGACCGACCCTCATGTTCACCATTCACTTGGCTCTCACCTCGTTGCCTCACAAGAGTGCATGTGCCCTGGCTGGACACCGTTTAGAGTCTCCACTGCCTTAGCCACTGAAGGTCAAAAGATGCTGTTCCTTCTGCAGGTTGGGTCCCTATGAATCCCAGTGAGTCAAATGACTCCCTTTGCTGATCATTTTATCATCAGTCTTTGATGTTTTCCAGTTGCTGCTGGCTCCAGAGAGGTTAATCTGTCTAAATACATGTAGCTTGTAAACGGCAAGGCTGAGATTTGAATCCACATCTGTCTCTCAAGCACCCTCCATGACAAAGTGATGGCTGGGCTCTGTCAGTCCACTTCTCTCTTCAGATCTGTCTTAGTTTGGCTTCTTTTGAAAACAATGACAGGGCTTTTGGATAGGAGATGGGAGGAAGCAGGAGCGAGGGAGTGAGTGGCGAATGATCATGGAAGAAAGGAAAGCCCACACAAGGGTGTGTAGTGATGGGTGCCATTCCTGGCACAGGCTCCTTCCCTCCCACCACCCCCAACTTTTCAAGGAGAATAGAGAATGCCTCTCAGACTGGAAGTGTCCACCCTAAGGCTGGTAGGCAGAGTGTTTCGTCTCCCATCCACTGTGGGCTGCACTGGGTTTATCAGCACTCCCATTCTTCCAATCAGAGGAAGATGCTTCCTGCAGTGTGACAAGTCAAGACCTACAGGCACAATCCACATCCTCATGTCAGAAATCAGGATGAAGGCAAGAGGGGTGAGTCAGGGCACATAAGTGCCAGTCTCCAGGAAGTGACCATCTGTGGTCTCAAGTATGTTTCAGGGACAAAACACTTAACCATTGCTCCACTGAGGCCCCAGGGAGAAACACAATCTCTCCTCTTCCCCAAATAGCAATTAGTCCACTTCCCCCAAGTGACAGCCTTCAGAAATTTTCACTAGAGGCTTTCAAGCTGCCAGATCTCATATCTGTGGTTAATGGTTTGAGCGGGCCACGTGGCTGTCCCATGGGATTCCCAGAAGAAACCAGAGGATTAAAAGGCTGAGGAGATATTTGCAGAGCAGCAATGGAGACATAGACGTTGAGAACAGACTTATGGACATGGCTTGGGCTGTGGGGAGGAAGGAGAGGGTGGGATGGACGGAGAGAATTACATGGAAACACATTACCATGTGTGAAATAGACAGTCAGTGGGAATTTGCCATATGACTCAGGGAACTCAAACCAGGGCTCAGTAACAACCTGGAGGAGTGGGATGGGGAGGGAGGTGAGAGGGGTGTTCAAGTGGAGGGGACATGGATAAACCCGAATCATGGCTGATTCATGCTGATGTTTGGTAGAAACCAATACAATACTGTAAAGCAATTATCCTTCAATTAAAAATAAATAAATTAAAAAAGAAAAAAAAAAGAATGAGGAGGCAGGGAAGGAAGATGAGAGAGGAAGTTCTGAATAAACTCGTTACACACAAAGAGAGCTGGGCTGGGGTCTTTCAACAACTGAATGTTGTTGAACAACTTGTCAAAAAAAGCCCCAGAATCATTTAAATGCAGTATTTAGTGCAGTGAAGTTCACATATTAACAATTCCCTTTACTTTTTCCTGAGTGAAAATCAAGACAGTTTAGAATGTGAGGACGTGGGAAGGGAGGAAGACAGAGCTTTCTTTTGTCTTATTTCTGGCGACCCAGCTTCTGGAGACAATTGACAAAAGATGTTGATGGTGAGGCTGGGGCCTTGGCGACTTGACATACTCCAGGTGTGGGACTGAGATGGGGAGGCTTGGGGCTAGTAACTGGATACCTTGACAGGAATCCTGACCAGAGTACTGGGCCTTTTGGGTCTTGAGTGTCCTGGGTCAGATTTTATCATCTAAAGCACATGGTCCCATTGGCCAATTAAACAGCTTATTGAGAGTACAGGTGGCTCCTTTTAACAGGCACCAGGAAGGAGTATGGGGTGCCACGCAAAAGAAACCATCACCCCCACCACCCAACTTCAAAACAGACCCCAACAGCCCACATTAGATGGATCTGTGTCCGCAATTCTCCTAACTCCTTTCTTCTCTTCCCCATGCTCCTGAAGTTCATCATCTAACCCCACGTCAAACATTTCAGTGTCTCTGCTGCCTTGCTTCACTTGTTGGTAGTTAAGAACTGAAGCAGGTGTGGGGAGGTGCGGCTCCCTGAGGATTTATAAAACCCAAGCCACTTGTCATGGAGGCTGTGTTTTTCTTGCCAAATTTGCTGGTTTCTCTCCAGTGCACCTGGTCTCTTATCTTTTCCAAAAAAGGTTGAAACCTGCTCATCACCTGCCTTGGCAACATCTGTACCCCAGAATCAAGGAAAATAGAATCAGAAAATGTCATACAAAAGATCTGGTTTACCCTACCTTTCCTCCCCTCTGTCATTTTACAGATGAGGAAACAGTCCCATGGAGGGTAAGGAGCTTGACAATGTGATGGGCTGTTTAGGAGAAGTGGTCCCTGAATCAGGTTCCTGATCCTCATTCCAAGCTTATCTTGAGAAAGTCCTGTGCCAGGTTCTCTTGGTCCATTACCTCCTGCACTGATGTTTCCCAGGAAGTTCTCTTTTCCAGGGTAGGAGCTTCTGGGTTTGAACAGGGAGTGCTATGGACGGACGTTTTGTGTGCCTCCCCCAATAGTCATGTGTTGGAACTCTTACCCCAGTGTGATGGTGTTTGGAGATTGGAACTTTGGGAGGTAATTTAGGTTAGATGAGGTCACAAAGGTGGGCACTTCATGGTGGAATTACTGCTCTTATAAAAGAGATATGAGACCTCTTTTTCCTTCTGCCGTGTGAGGACGCAACGAGAAGATGGCCAGTTGCAAGCCAGGAAAAGTGCGCTTAATCAGAACCTGACCAAGCTCACTGTGGGCTGCTCTATCAGAGGTGGTGGGTACAAGGCAGTGCTCTGGACTGCTGGGAAGGACATCATCCCACTAGATAGTGGAGGTAGAGTCCTCCATGGTGACACCATGCCTAGCTTAAGTGTGGCAGGATTATTTTAAATTTTTTATGTTTTGTCCACACCATGTGGCATGTGAGATCTTAGGTCCCCAATCAGGGATGGAACCTGCACCCTCTGCATTGAAGCTAGGAGTCTTAATCACTGGACCACCAGGGAAGTCCCTAGTGTGGTAATATTTTATAAGAAATTACTTTTTTTTGGCTTTACAGATAGCAGGTAAGACAAAACAAATTTCCTTTATCATCCAGGCAAGTCACCAAGTACAAAGAAATGCTTTGGAGACAAGAAAATCCATACAGTTTCTCTCTTTTCCTTTCTAAGAGTGAAGTCCAAAATCTACTCTTTGAAAATCTTCCTTGAAAATGCTAAAATTCCACATAGGAACTCATTCCTCACAATTTAACTTCTGATCTCCCTGAGATGATACACTTTAGTCTGTTATTAGTCACCTTGAAGTGTGAATCGGCCTCTGATCCTTCTGTGAAAGCAGGTAGTGTTGGGGAGAGATAAGGGGTTAGGGACCTGATGTAGGCCATCTCAACCTAGCTCAGCTCGATTACAGGTGGGCGAGTGTTGGTTTTGAAAAGGGTTGGTTTTGAAAGGAACTAGGCATTTCAAAGAACCCGAGTGCCCTCCCTGTTGGACTGTGAACCCGAACAGTGCAAAAGCCAAGATTCTTGGCATGAAAGGCAGAAGACAAGATGCAGACACAGGGCAGAGAAAGACCGGGGTGGACCAGCAGAGATCTGTTTGTTTTGTTATCAAAGGAAAATACACAGGTATCTGGGCAGAGGAGAGAGAGTGTCTCCAGCTGTATCAGCTCATATCTTAGCAGGGATAACCCAGGTCCTGTCATGTGGGGAGGATGGAGGGGTGCAACCCAGGGGCAGGGACACTACCTGTGGACCCTAGGAAGGGCAAAGTTGTTCTGTATCTCGACTATACTCTCCTGACTTGCAGGGGTTTTTTTTGTTTGTTTTCCCCCTAACATTTATTTATTTAGCTACACCAGGTCTTAGCTGAGGCACACAGAATCTTTAGTTTTGGCATGTGGGATCTAGTTTCCTGACCAGGGGTCGTACCCAGGGCCTGTGCATTGGGAGTGAACAGTTTTAGCCACTGGACCGCCAGGGAAGTCCCCTGATTTGCATTCTTTACTGGTGCAGCCAGTAACCTGGAGCTGCCATCCTCTGTGGCTGGAGAGTAGACAAAGATGGTGGCATGGCCATCACAGAGCCAGGCTCCCCAGGCCAGTGAAACGGCTGAGAAACTGCGTCTTCAGGAGGGGAATGTCTCCTGACCCCCTAAGAGGAGCTTATTTCCCAGGAGTGTTCCTGTGAGTTAATTTCCAAGGCCAGCATCGTTTCTCCACAGATCCTTTTTATTGCCATGGAGACAGTCTGCACAGCTCTGTCCAATGAAAAGTCTGAGCAGCAGGCACCATGACAACCTGTGGGGGCTGGAAGGACAGCTCCAAAGTACCTCGCAGACCAGAGCAAGGACAGAGGCCTGGGGACATTATGATTGTCACAAGTGTGGTTGATGAAAGGGGATGGCTTGACTCTTTACTGCCTTTTTCTCTGTAGGCAGTGAGCAAGGGATGGGTGTGATGGTGGGCCTGCGGCTGGTGGTGTTGAGGTTTGGGGCTACTGAAGGCAGTCAGCATCATTCTTTTATTGACTCCATGCTGTGTTTATCCCCAGCCAGGCCAGTTCGTATGTGTCTGAAGCTGTGACAAAGCCAGAGCAGAGCATTGTCTGGCTCTGGGTGGGGGGTGGGGGTGAGAAGGAGGAAACAGCACACCCTAGGAGATGTCTCAGGACTAAACAAGCGCTTCTCTGTAGAAACCACCCCACCCTTTCCAGCATGGTGGAGACAACTCGCTGCCAAGTTGACACGAAGCTCTCAGATTCGCAATTTGGGGCATCCTGGCTTTGCTGATGGCGAGGTGTTTGTGGTGTGAGGCCTGAGGCCAGCCACACCCTCCCTGCTTGTCCTCTGCACTTGCCTGACTCCTGCTGGAGCCTGCCAGACACACGGGGGTCCCATGACCTCTGTGTTCAGCCCAGAGCTGGCTCAGAAGCCTTGCCCATTTCCTTCCTTCCTTCCTCCCAGGCTCTCTCTCCATTCTATCTGTCCCCTGGCCCTGGGCTTCCTCACTCCCAGCCCAGCACTCTTACTCCCACTATTCCGTGGTTGGATTATTCAGAGAATCAGCTTGTGTCTCTACACCAGGCCTCATCCCGAAGGGCTGGGAGGAGCAGAGTGGTTCTAAGATCTCTCTACTCCTGGAGGGGCTTAGGAAAGTCACAGATATGACTTAAGGCCTGCTTGTCCTACTGGGAGCTATCCTTGTGAAGGCTACATCTTAGGGGATAGATAGCAGATGGTCTCTAAGAGCAACTGTTAGGACTAAACTCATAACCAAATTTTGATAGTAGATGCCAGTTACTCCAGTTCTGGAGGGTCAAGTTCTGTGTGACTCATTTTTCTCATGTGCAAAATGGGTATAAACTTGTAAGGCTGGGATGAGAATTAGATGAATTAATACCTGGGCCTGGTTTATGGTAGGTTTCAGCTGTTATTTTGATTCTTATTACCAAGTCCTCATACAGTGCTTGGAAACACAACTTGTTGTTCAGTCACTGTCATGTCCAACTCTTTGCAACCCCATGGACTGCAGCATGCCAGGCTTCCCCGTCCTTCTCTATCTTCTGGAGTTTGCTCAAACTCATGTCCATTGAGTCAGTGATGCCATCCAACCATCTCGTCCTCTGTCATCCTCTTCTCCTCCTGCCTTTCTCTGTAGATGCTCCTGCATCTGTCCAGCAGGGGCTTTGCTTATTTCCATCAACTCCAGTGCTGAGGAGCAGCCCCTGGCCTACTCTTCCACTCTGTAGGAAGTGGCTATCTTATCTGGAGAGTAGCTATCCCACCCCAGAGCAATTCATCTGTATCTCCTAGGGATCCCCAGCTGGTGGGATCAGCACCTCCACCCATCTTGGATAAGAGAGCATCTCCCTCAACCAGTCTATATGGTTGATGGCATTACCTTTCTCTCTCATGGCATCTTCCATCTTCTATCCACCAAGTACAGATCACAAGCCTCTAAGTGCCCATCATAAGCCCTGTATGTTCTCACATAACCAAAGGATCAGTTCTGTGTTCAGCACTCTGAGCTGACTCCTGGTGGCCTTGCTTCTCATCACCTCACTTAGCATGAGTACACACCTCCATTCCCTCCAGCCCTCAGCTGACCCACTTAGCCTGCAGTGGTTCTTCCAAACCATTCCATGAGAAATGTCAGTCAATTCACCCAGAATTTGTCATCAGAAGCTTCTTTTCCTGGATCATCACTGTTTGGTGCATCCCATCACTGTACCTATGTGATGTCTTTCACCCCTCCCCATGTCAAAACCCACTCTTAGGAAGTTTTGCAAACTCATTCATTCTGATGGGTGAAAGTGACTATTAGGACTTAGTCATTCTGACAGTTACAAGGCTTCCAGGTAGCCATCCTTAAGACATCATGTCGATTAACTGCATGCTCGTAGATTCAATAAACATACCTTGATGGCATGCTCCAGTGGATGCTGCTGTGATTATCACGATAACCATTTATGAGCACCTACTATATCTCAGGTGAGATAACTGACCACAGTAGAGTGAAATGGTCAACATCTGTACTGGGTCTCTACCCCATTCATTTTGCCAAAAATTCTAGAAGGACCAACAATTTATATGTAAAGTAATATAACTTAATGTTGAGACTTATGGACAAGAATATACTTTATAGCCCCAAGTACAATAGCAAAAGGCAGGAAACCACTTAAATACCCATCAACACAGCATCATTAACAGGGGATGATTAAATAAGTTATGGTATGTCCATTTATGGACTACTCTGTATCTGTTTTTGTTTTTTTTTAAATGGTCATAGATTTGTAACTATTGATAATGGAACAATCCCCAAGATAACAATTAAAAGGGAAAAAGCAAGTGTGTAGCACAGTGTATAGAGTGTGCTACTGTGTGTGCAGTGAGGGCAAATCCATAGTGGGGTGTATGCAGAGACTATTTCTGGAAGGAAAAGAAAGTTGACAAGAGCGGCTGGTTCAGGGAATGGGACTGTTGATCCAGGTAAGAGAATGGCATAATTTTAATCCTTTAATGGAGTTTGGATTCTTTTTATTCCTTACCACATTCAGGTATTACTTCTGAGTTTCAAAAACTTAAGAAATGAGCAGATGCTGTGGAATCAGACACACTTGGATTGAAGTTGAATTTCCATCAGTTTCTACCTGCATGTCCTTGACTGTGTTACTTACCCTCATCTAGTCTCGCCCTCTGCAGAATGGGGAGTAATAGCACCCACCTCTTGGGTGGTGGTGAGGATTAAGGGGGAACGTGCCTGTGAAGTTCTCAGCACAGTGCCTGGCACAAAGCAAGCCATCGGTCATCAGGCCCTTTACATAATCATCTCTAATTATCATTCTGGGTCCAGTACTATTCAACAAATCTGTTTCCTGTGCTTCGGGCACCCAGCAAAGTCTGGCGATACAAAAGCAGTGGGAGAATCAGGCCGTGGACAACCAACCATAACAATCCTGGAACAAGAAATTTCAGGGAAAGCATGTTTAACTCTGCCTGAGGGGCAGAGGGCAGGGGTTCCAGAAGGGTTCCCTAAAGTGACATTTGTGGTGGGGGTTTCAAAGGATGAGAAGGAGCAGCTCCAGCAGAGATGCCACGTGAGGAAAGGTACCGGTGTGGGGGCTTGGGGCCCTCTGTCCCTGCCACAGGAGAGCGTAGTGTAGGGGAGAGAGTGGGGGCAGGACCCCCAGATAGAAACCGTGCTGGGGACAGAGGCAGAGCACCAGTTCCTCTCAACAGCAGTGCCTCGCTCCTTCCTTTCCCCTGTGGTCACCTCCTTGAAATCCTAATCTTTTTCCAGTTGCTGCAGCGCAGCCTGGGGCAAAAGCACCAGCAGTATATATGCAAATGTGCTTTGGGGTCTCCTCTTCTAGCCCCAGCCCTCGGAAGTAGCAGAGACACCTGTTCTTCAGGGCAGGCGTGTGTCTGTTCCACAGGCTCCTAATACTGCAGTCAGTTACCTCCAGACATTTTTCTCCCCGAAAGATTCACACCAAGGGCTTGTATGGATGTTCTGTTTTCTCTATCAATTATATATCTGTCTATAAAATATAGATACATTTCTCCCTTTCTGGATAAGCAGGGAAGGACCAATGCAGGGAACCACGATTGAACCAGACACTCTGGGAAGAGGAAGAGCTGGAACCGCCGATGGCTCTGGCGGTCATCCTACAACCAGAAAAGACAGCCCACTGCGCGCTGTCAGATGACGACTTAGCCACGTCCGGAGAGGAGCAGAGTGCAGCCTCCCTCCCTGTCTCCTGGGTGACAAAGTCTCCGGATGGCCCCACCAACAATGAGATGAAAATGAAGAGCCCTGCAGTATAATGAGGGTGATAAAAATAGAGAGTTGCTGAGTAAAGGGCAGGCCACAGTGGAGGAGGAGGAATCCTGCCCGGAGCAGGTGGACCGGGCCTCCCGGCCTGTGACTCAGACAGACCAGGGCTGGCAGAGGGGGTGGCAGGGAGGTCAGAGAGGGGCCGAAGGGTGGGCTTACTTGAATGTCCCAAGCAGACGCTGTCCTGGTCACTGTGACTCTGACCTTCACAGCGGGTGGACAAGGTGGGGCCAACACACACGCTGATGGGGATTGGGAAATTCCTGCCCTTGTCTTGAACCTCTTGCCTGTCAATAAGAGTCAGAAAATGCGTTAAGAGTTAATGTGTCAATTTCTCTTAAAACATTGCACCTCTTGTCTGTAGTATGGAGTGGAAGAAGCCTGCTAACCATGCCTCCTTCCCTCCCTCCTTCCCTTCTTCTTTCCCTTTCTTTCTTCTTTCTTCAGTTGGCAGCTTGGAGTAACTGCCAGCAAAGGCAGCCTCTCCTACAGAAGGAAGGCTTGAGGTGAGCAGGGACAGCTGCATGTGATGCCTTCTGGCACCTTGCCCCTCTGCAGTCTTTCTTTTTAAAATTATCTTCTAAAAAATTAAAATTTATTCTGATATTCAGCCACGAGAAAGGAAGATATCCTCCCATTTATTTGTGACAACGTGGACGGACTCCAAGTGTTTTATGCTAAGTGAGATAAGTCAGGCAGAGACAGGTACTACATAACATCACTTACAGGCGACACCTAAGGGTTAAACCAGAAAAAAAAAGAGAGTAAATGGCGGTGACTGAGGGATGGGGGATGCTAAGGGTGAGGGTGGGTTTTTATTTTAATTTTGGCTGCACTAGGTCTTTGTCGGTGCCTGGGCTTATTTCTAGGTCGTGGCGAACAGCGGCTACTCTCTAGCTGTGGCGCTCCGGCTTCTCGTTACGGTGGCCTCTCTTGTGGATCACAGGCTTAGTTGCTCAGAGGCACATGGGATCTTCCTGGACTAGGGATCGAACCCGTGTCTCCTGCATCGGCAGATGGATTCTTTACCACTGAGCCAACAGGGAAGCCCCAGAGTGAGGGTGTTTAGAGGTACGATCTTGAAACAGGTAGTAAACAAGACATAGAGACCTAATACACAGTATAATGAATAGACAATATGATATTATAATACTATAAATATGTAATGCGATCATTAGTGCTACATCGCAGTCATGTTACAATATATAAACATATCAGATAGTACAGTGCACACCTTACACCTGCAATTTTACATGTCAAATTCATTTTAAAAAATTCGCAAAAATTATTTTTTGAGCAATACATGCTTATAGTACAAAATTCAGAAGGGAAAAAAAAAAGTATACAATAAGATAATTTCCCTCTATCCGGCTCCCAGACCCAAGCCACCACTTCCTAGAGGCACCACCGTTATCGGGTTCTGTGCAGCTTTCCAGAGCTGTTAGCATACATAAGTGCATGCCCCCCAATCCCCAACTTGCCAATTTTTTTTTGCATAAGTGCTAAATACTATATCAGAGTCCTGACAGAAAACAGGTGGTGCACATAGACATGAGTCCTTCAAGTTGAGTTTAACGAATGGCCTGCTTATAGAAGTGTGGGCAGGACCTAGGAGAAGCCCAGGGAGGTGCAGTAACCAGGGCCAGCACCAGCTGAGCTCGGTGACTCAGGGTGAGTGACAAAGCCAGCTGGAGCAACCCAGGGAGGAGGCAGGGCCTAAAGACCTGGCTCATGCTCTCCTCCCTCCCTGTGCCCCGAGGGCTGAACCCAACCTGCGCCAGAGACCACGGGAGTCTGTCCATGTAGTTTACAGAGGTCACTCTGTAGAAAGGGGGCAGAGAGGGGGACCGGAAGGGGAAGGATGGGTGAGGAGGGCAAGCGGTGCTATGACACTGGCACATGCACCCAGCCCCTCCACCTGAACTTGACGGTCCACCCGTATATCTAGCCTCATTCTTTCTGCTGGCCTATAGCATTCTACGTATTCCTGTTCTGGAACACTATACCATATATATAATATATATAAGAATATATACCACATATAATGCATCTCTGTAGATATAAATACCTATGGTATATATAAATTCAGTATTGAATATTGTAATACTATAATGTATGGTTATATAAATATATAGGTATATATAAATTATATAAATAATTATATCTATTTGTACCCCTATATATATATATGATTTTATATATATATATAATCCCTCACTGATGGACTTTGAAGATTTTTTCCAATCTTCTGCAAACAATGCTGCAAGGCATATCCTTTTACTCAGTCATTACACATGGCAAGAATATGTAGAGAATAAATTCTAGGACAGAGATTGCTGGATCAAAGAGCGTATGCTTTTGAAATGTTGATGGATACTGGCACATCACCCTGAAGAGTAGTTGTACCAACTTAAACTCATATCAGCAATGTATGCGACGCCTGTGCAGTGTCTGAACATCTGGGTTACCAAGATGTGAATAAACCTATTAGAGCATCTTTCTGTCAGTGTTTGTACCTCCACAAAATGCGAACTTCTCTTTTTTGGGGAAATTATGAAAATACACACTTCCCTCTTGTTTTCTGTCATTTCTTTCAAGTTTACTCAGCAGCGATAAAATTCCTCCACCCATGAATGGAATTCTGCTCCTTCTTTGGGTACAATATTATGTCACTTTGAGTCACAAATAGCAGCCTCAGCTTAGAAAACTTTCTAGTTTATCTTTCTGTGCATGAACAAACCAACTACATATGTGTATATGTGAAAGTGAAGTGGCTCAGTTGTGTCTGAGCCCATAGGCTGTAGCCTACCAGGTTCCTCCATCCATGGAATTTTCCAGGCAAGAATACTGGAGTAGGTTGCCATTTCCTTCTCCAGGAGATCTTCCTAACCCAGGGATTGAACCTGGGTTACACACACACACACACACACACACACACACACACACATAAAATAAAAAGCATCTAGGAGACAGGTAAGGAAACTATACATGTGTCTGGAGGCACCAGGGGACTCCAGAGGATCACCATTAACCCCACTAGGTATGACAGCATTGCTGTGATTGCAAGAAAGTGCCCCAGTTCTCTGCAGAAGCAGCCTCAAGTATCCACAGAAGTGGATGGAATTTCAGAAGTCTGCAATCTATCCCAAAACACCTTAGGAAAAACAATGTGGCAAATATACAAATCTTAATAGTCATTAAATCTAGGTGATGGATCTTTTTGTAGCTCAAACATCCTTATAATAAAAAAAATGTAAGTATCCAACCAAGATGATAATCAATACTTCACACTGTGAGACTTCTCCTCCTCCTCCTCTCCCACCTCCTCTTGACTTCTGCCTCCACCTCCACCCCCCCAGCCTCTGGATCTGGCGGTCACCAGTACACCAGTGACTGAGGTCTCTTCACCCTCCACCTGGTCTTCTTGGGAAGTTCTTGCAATGGCTCCAGCCTGGTTTCCCCTCTGCTGAGTGGCAAACACTCCATGGAAAATCCTTCAAAAAACCCTGGCAATGCAGGTCCCCTGTCCTGTGGCCACAGGCAGCTTCTTTTTCCTCAGGCCCAAGTTAGACAGGAGTCTCGGATCCCCTCCGACTGCAGAGATGCACAGCAGGCTCTCCAGTGCCCCCTGGAAACCTGCTCTCAATACATTTACATTGGAAAGGAGCTTTCTATCCTTTCCCTGGAGATGACGGAGGGAGAAAATATCAGCATTCTCCAAAGAAATCTCATAAATCCTCAGGTAATACCCTTTCCTCCCACTGTGATATTAAATGTATCTTAGTATTATTAAACATTTACTTTCCACTACATACATTTAGAGTTTTGTTCATATTTACATAGTCAGATTTACTACATTTAATGCCATTTGTTTATAATTGTGCTATTACTTATTGCTACAGTAGCTTAAAACAGCCAACATTTATTATCTCATACAGTTTCTGAGGATCAGGAATCTAGGACTGGCTTAGTTGATGGCTCAGGATCTCCCATGAGTTGCAGTAGAGAAGCTGACCAGGACTGGGCCTGACTGAGGCTGGTGGATCCACCTCCAAAAGTTTCACTTATATGGCTGAGCCTCAGTTTCTTACCAAGCAGGCTTCTCCACAGGGCTATTCAAGACAAACAACTGCTTTTCTCTTGAGCGGGTGATCTGAGGGTGCAAGGGAGAAGCCATGATCTTGGTCTTTCATGGCCAAGCCTTGGAAGTGGCATGCCATGGCTCCAGCCATATTGAAGCTGCAGAAATGCATCTTGGGGGGCTCCAAAGAACCCCAATTCTTTATGTCTCAGTGCAGAAAGAATTCAGCAAGAGGCAGAGTGATAGATAAGAAGTGGCTTATTGGGACACTTGTGAACTTTACAGGCAGGTGGGCAAGGGAGTGCCACACCCAGACCTTAGCGGACTACAGTTTTATAATCAAAGGAAGAGTGGAGAGGTAGAGAAGAGAATATCACCTTCTTCCTGATTCTTTGAGTAGATATCCTCCTTCCATCATCAGCTTTTCCTCCATGTTGGGTGGGAGAGTTTTCTTGTCCCTACATGGTCAAACTGGGACTGTCATGGTGCAATGGAAATGAGCAAAAAGGCAGTAACGTATTAAAATATGGTAAATCATCTCAGGTTTCAGTGTAAGGTTACCTTTTCCTTAAGTTCTGTTTTTAATGAGCACAGAGGAGCATGTCCTAGGAATCATAAACTTACTGACCTCACTGCGTGGGATGTGGGTCTCAGTCCACCATTCTTTTATTATTTTGGAGCATGTCTTCATGCTTCTGTTGCATGGTTTTGCTGATAAGAAAGTCTGTTTGGTTTTGTGGTTAAACAAACCTGCTTTCTTGAGTGCTCTTTAACTGACAGGGGTCTACCATGCTTTTTTCTCTGCTAATGATCCCTTAGTGGGACTAACAATTTAATCACCTGCTTCTTCTCCCTTTATTCTATCCCTATCTGTATGCTGTTGGTCCTGTGGTTCAACAATGACACATGTGGAAAAGCACAAGGATGTGATACCAAGAGGCAGGGGCCACTGGGGTCATCTGGAAGGCTCCCAGCATGTTTATTGGCATCATCTTGCATGTGTCTTAGCTGCCAGTGTCCACTTTGCCATGTGGACTCACGACCCACAGAGTTACATTCTGTGGGGGAGATTCCCGCCAAGGTTTTCAGGATGGCCCTTGGTCACTGGGTACCAGCAGTCGGTGGAACCTGCCTGTGTCTTCCGGAGGTCATCTTGATAATAGCACGGGCACTCTCTGCAGTGAGTCTGGGCCAGAGAATAAATCTTCCAGATGGACTCTGTTCTGTGTTCTCAATTTCCCTTCATAGTGCCCAGTGCTCTTTCATGTCTTTACCATTGAATCTCTTATAAAAAGAAGACCCGGGGTGGTGTCCAGACATGACTGAACCCTAGTAAAGATTAGGCTCAAGCAACCCCCAGCACACAAATAAGGAGTTCTTTATGCAAGGATCAGGGTGATAAATGGGGACAAGGCAGGAATGGACTTGTACTCAGGTTGGGACTTAGGGCATCCATTTCCCTGTCACAGGAGAAGTGAATCCTAACACAAGGCTGCTTCCATGGAGGGGAAGAGGAGAGACCAAAAGCGAAAGTATAGAGGGTACA